GACTTGTCGCTGCTGAATCATATTTAAGAGTTTAAGTTTAAGAGCTTGTTTGGTGGAAATTTTGGTAATTGATTTTTTGACCATTAGATATAAAGTAGATCCTATCTTTGAGATAAGAATTCAAAAATGACAATTGGAATAGTGAAATAATTGTCAAAAAATTGATTTTAATTGATTTAAAATTCCTACCAAACAAGCGGTAAATGTAGACAACTCTATTTCTTGAAAGAATTCTGACTTTTTCTAGATAAATATTAGATATAGGCCATTCTATCCCAATGAGAATTGTCTGCCTTTAGATTAAAGGATCTTGCTATATATACATAAAGATTTACATAATGGATTACATAATTTCACACGGCACTCTGCCATTTGCCAGTTTAAAATACAATCAACTTTTTCATCCAATTTTTTCCCACCACATCATATTACATAATCCATTATGTATATTTTTTATGTACAAGTAGCAAAATCCTAGATTTAATCTCTATAATAAAGCCACTTGGCCATCTTAAAGGGTGAGGTGTATAAGTAACATTTTATTGTTATTTTGTATGCATTTATCCATATAAACATTTAGGGTGTCTTTGATTACCTCTATTTTCCATGGAAGATGTCATTTTTTCACCCAAATACTTACTATTAGGGTGTTTTGTTGACATTTTTTTCATGGAAAATATTTTTCAAAAGTTGGTGACATATTTTCCTAAAAAAGCAAGGAAAACATTTTTTTGGAGAGGAGTAGGTTTTTATTTTTCAAATAATTCACTCTCTCTCTCTCTCTCTCTCTCATTTACCTCCCTCTCGTCTACCCACCAATAAAAATTAAACAAGTATAATATTTTTTTAGGTTGAAATTTAAACCAATTAAACACATTTAATTAATGTTTTTCATATAATAAATTCTAAACATTTCAATTGTCTAGAACTTATTTTTTTCTATGCAAATTTCATACTTGCAATCAAACACTCTGCTAGAGTAATGCCACATCACATAATTATTTACAGATTGTTGTAATGATTGATGAAATTATATTAAAATTTAAGAAAATGCTTGTTGTATATCACTCTTTACATAATTTTTATAGATTGATGAGATGGCAAAAAGAAAGTGAAAGAGTTTTATCTTTTATTATTTTATATTTTTGGTTGACAAGATTTTGACTCAATCAAATCTCACCACATCATCTGTTTGTTAACAAATTTGTAAGTTGTGATGTATATGTAGTACAATTGTAAAATTTAATTGATTTCCTTCTCACATTTCCTCTCTCTTTGCCAAACTTATTTTTTCCCTATCTCTGTACACCAATCTGTAAATAATTATGTACAAGTAACATTACTCAAACATTTATGATGAGCATCTAATTATCATGAAGATACATACTCTACCTGTTCTGTTTGATGGATCTGTGCATAGATTGATAGATGTTTATATTTGTGTTAATTCAGTGATAAGAGTTTTTACTGTC